TGCAGATTTTTCTTCATTGTATGACAGTGACTTGAAATATGTACGTCCCCTCGGAGCCACTGCTTTAGCTTCATATTTCACAGAACCCTCTGTAGGAGGAAGTAAACCTTGAACAACATCAGAGTATAATCTCTTCACATTAACACTTGCTGAACTAACCCGATTTTCAACATATTCAACCTTATCCTGTGCATAATATCAGTTTAAAAGTTTATTCCTACTACAAACCTCAGCGAAAAATTACTAAATTGCACGACAAAGATGAACGATTCAGCGACACAATCAACCCAATAAGAAAGCTACCACATGAACTATATTGTCAAAATGTTGGATCACATAACGTAAAAAAAGAGAAGGAAATGAGGATAACCTGGTTTATAATATTATCCACTTCCTGGCACACTGCTTCAAATTTTTGGAACATGTTTCCAACCCATGATATACCCTTATGTTTCAAATCCATTTTTGTTCACCTGCAAGATTCATAATCCTTAGAACCAAAGAACAGTACTACAAGGAATGATTTCCTAATCTTTCAACTCATTGAATGAGAGTTTTGTTAGAAAAAAATAACAAAAGATCCTCGAAGTTCTCAGTGTTCTTAAACGACGATCATAGAACCAAACTGAAGATGGAGCGAAAATATAGAGATTTAAGGCATTCGAGGAGCAGATTCTCAAATTTGATCAGCAGAATCACATTGTTCTGCGAAATGGAATATTTACGCAACATTCACAGAAAGCGAACAGCAGAATCAAAAAGGGGTTGGAAGAAGAAATCAACCTGAGGTGCCGCGGAGGTCAGTCCATAATCATGGGGTTGGATGGGTTGTGTTCTTGATCGGCAGCTGCACAGGAACAGGGTTTTAGTTTATCTTTAAATGGCAGAGGCAAAATCAGAGACGTTTAATCTCTAAATTATAATATTATTTCAGATTCTAAAAAAACGGTTTTTGGCTCCCAAACTTAGAAATGATTCTTCCTATATTTTTATTTATTATTATTTTTTTAGAAAATAATTTTTTTAATTAAATAATTAGTTTAATAATTTTCATAATAGTTTTTATTTAAAAATTATTTATAAGAATTATAGTCAAGGTTGTATTTGAAAAAAATGATAAATAATAATAATAATATTTTTGTGTAATAATTAAGTTATTTTAAAAATTATTATTAAATGAAAAAATTTTGACCTGTTCACAACCATAATCTCAATCAAAATTTATAAATATGCGTCGAAAATGGTTAGGAATCATGAATTCCAAGTGAAATGTGGTCGGGATTCATGAATTTTGACAAGAAATTAATGGGAGTCGATGAATTTCAATCTAAATTTGTTCGAAATTCATGTAATTTGATTCGCCTCGATATAAATGAAATGAACTTAAAAAGAAAATTAGAAATGAAAGAAACTGAAACTCTCCTCCCTGTTACGTTGTGAATCATCCTTGCCCTGCTCCTCTCATCTTCAGTCGCCATTAGAGACCGACTTGGTTATAACGAGCTCGGGGCAGAGCCAAAACCTGCAGAGATGAGGTGTGTTAATTTTGGTGATCTCCCTTGTAGAGTTGAGTATTGAAAGTTGATATGATACAATTATTCAATGAATCGATTGAAATGTTCATAGTATAGGGAATTTAACGTTATCGTTCTTAGCTAGATGGCAAACATGGCGGCTTCTTATGTAGTATTATCCATGTGATTAGTTCTCTGAGGTCCAACATCGGTTGGAGAGTGGAACAGGGTGGGGAAACCTCTCCCTAGTAGATGCGTTTTAAAACTGTGAGGCTGACGACGATACGTTACGGGCCAAAACAGACAATATCTGTTAGTAGTGGGCTTGAGCTGTTACAAATAGTATTAGAGCCACACACTGGGCAATGTGCCAGCGAGAACGTTGGAATCCAAGGGGGTAGATTATGAAGTCTCATGTCGGTTAGAGGGGGAAACGAAACATTCCTTATAAGGATGTGGAAACTTCTTCTTAGTAGACGCATTTTAAAACCGTGAGGCTGACGCCAAAGCGGACATTATCTACTAATGGTGAGTTTGGGCTGTTACAAATGGTATTAGAGCCAGACACTGAGAGATAAGCCAGCGAGGACACTGGGCTCCAAGAAGGGTGGATTGTGAGGTCCCACGTCAGTTGAAGAGGGGAACGAAGCATTCCTTATAAGGGTGTGGAAACCTCTCCCTAATTGACGCATTTTAAAACCGTGAGGTTGACGCCAAAGCAGACAATATCTGCTAGCGGTGGGCTTAGGCTGTTACAAATGGTATCGCAACCCAGACACCGGACAGTGTGCCGACAAGGACGTTGGGTCCCAAGAGGGGTGGATTATGAGGTCCCACATCGGTTGGAGAGGAGAATAGAGCATTTCTTATAAGGGTGTGGAAACCTCTCCCTAGTAGACATGTTTTAAAACCGTGAGGCAGACACCAAATAGACAATATCTGCTAGCGGTGGGCTTGAACGATTACAAATGATATCAGAGTTACACACTGGGCAGTATGCCAGCGAGGACGGTGAGCAAAAAGGGGTTTGGATTGTGAGGTCCTACGTCAGTTGGAGAGGGGAACAAAGCATTCCTTATAATGGTATGGAAATCTCTCCCTAGTAGCAGATGACGTCAAAGGGATCGGAGTTTTAAAGGTGACCATGAGAAACCAACATGAGACTCCTAGCTTTGCATTTATCAACAACCTATTCTTTCCATCCCAACCGTACTTCAAGATTCATGAGAAACCAATAGAATGAAGGGAATGGGGGTTCAAAATGGGAGCCAACAGGGCTTCTTTTGAATAGGCCTAAATATCATATCTCACACTCAAAATACCACAAAACCTTCATCTACCAGTCTAACACAGAAACAACAAGAACAAGAACAGTTCACTAACCTTTTTCGAGTCATCTTCTCCAGTATCATCCTGACTGCACCGACGGATTGGTTGTGAACTTAGTCGATCTCAGTGGAGTCATCTCTCACAGGATCATCTACTTCGTTCGTATTATCACCTGCATTGCCAACCGGGTTGTCCTGCAATTCCAGCATTGTTAGTATGAATCAAGAACACGAAAGTTCGAGCATAGGAAGAGATTGATCAAATGAATTAGCATACTTTCAACACGTCTAGCTTCGTTAACGAACAACCATGGCCTTCGCCTTTTAACACGATTGCAGGAAGCTTTTCTATGTCCCAACCAAGAACCTGGCATATAACTAAACTATATGCTCTATGAGCCAGCATCTTTATTTTCAACATCTTAGCAATGTGAGGCTTAACCCGTTTTTTCCCTGTTTTGTTCTTCCCAGGATAAGTTGTATGTCGGAGAAGGCGAACGCACGTCTTAAAACTCCTCAACGTTTTCTTTCCCGCTCCTTCACAAACTAAACACGAAAATTCTCCATCATCATACTTGTTCTTGTAATATCTTCTCAAGCTTTCATTCTCAATGAACAGCTTTAAAAAGAATTTGAACTCTTCGCGTTCCTCGATTGCGTTGTTTTCGCTAACATCGTCGTCAGCCATAGATGTCAAGAAGGCAGCAAAAAATTCTTCACATGCTTCCGTAATCGACTCGGGTACCTGCAACACATCCAACTGTATCAGCTCATCAGAAGAAACTACATGTTTTCGGCATTCGGTTACGACCACCGAGGAATCATCGTTCTTCGTTTTCTAATGAACATAAGACAAGACAATTGCATGATCATCAAGAACACCTCAACTGATTCTATAAAGGAAGTAAATGAACTAACCTCGCCAGAAATCAAATCTTCAGCTGTCTTTTCTTCCTCCCATTTCTGTTCATTCTTCATATCAATTTCATCATTCAAAATGGCTACATTTTCATTATGAACCCAAGAATCATGTTCTTCAGCCACCTGATTTTCCTCTGGCTGATCCTACAATGCATTTTAATCGAAAGCAATTTTGTATTGAATGCCATTATAAACAAGTTCAAGTTTAAACACATGGGCAGACCAGTAAAGTACCTTAAAATCTCCAGAGGTGGCTAATGATCGACTGAGAGGCTCGCCATTCAACACAATGGTTGGAAGTCGATCAATATCCCAACCAAAAACCCTGCATACGGCCTGTCCAAAAGCCCTATGAGCCACCTTCTTCTTCGTCCTTGATATCGAATTCGAATGATGAACAAGCCCAATGCAGTTCTTAAACCTTTTCCCAGATTTCTTCTTCCCCATTCCACCACAAACCAAGCAACAAAACAACCCATCTTCACAATTCTTCTCGTAATAGCCCCTAAGTTCATCATTCTCCATGAACAGATTCAAAAAGAATTTGTACTCTTCACTTTCCATAATCTCCCCATCATTCCCCTCTTCCTCCTCCACCTCTTCATCACTCCCTGAATCGGCATTTCTAATGAGAAATCTCCGGCAAGCCTCGATACCCTTGTACTGCAATTGCAACGCCACACGATTTGCTCGCTCTTCAGACGACACCAGCCGAGCCGCCGGAGTAGCACAGGGCATTGGCGGCCACCCAGATGACGTCGAGGGCTGATTTTGCACTGGCTCCGGGCAGGGCCATTCGGGGCCGGTGTCTTGTAATGGCTCGAGGCGTGGCTTCTTCTTCTTTTGCTTTCGATTCTTTGTGTCTCTGGGTCTCTTATTCGTAGCAGCGGCGACGGCGGTGGATAAATAATAGCGAGTGGGCTTAGGGCCCCTCGGCGGACCTCGCTGCCACAGAGAGTGGAGATAGAGAACCTCTTCGGTGAGTCTTTCCTCGGAGTAAGGATTCATTGGTGGAAAGATGATGGAATCAAGAGTAATAGAGGTTGGGGATCATCGCTCGTCTCATCCTCTCCGATCATAAATCACAAATAGGCGCTTATGATTTATGTGCTCTCTCTCTCTCTCTCTCTCTCTATATATATATATCTCTCTCTATATATATATCTCAATTAGAATTTAGAAGGGGAATTTCGTCGCTCGTCGTCTTCTACCTTGTGCATTCTACCCTCGTCCGTACGCTGATCGGCTCCACAGTCCGTACCAGTCATATGACCTACTGTAACAACCACATACTTTCTTCCCTCCTTCAAATTCCCAAGTCCCCACTGAGCCATTTCTCTCGTTTCTCTTCTCACAGTCGCCGTATTTTCTTTCAAGGTCCACCAATGTCTACATCTGCTGTAAAAATTGTTGCCGAGTACGCCAAGTCGAATCGTTCCACATGCAAGAACTGCTCCAAAACCATTCCTGCAAAGGCACTGAGGTTGGGTTTTGTGAGCAGAGATGGGCGGGGATTCGACATGACCCGTTGGTTTCATTCTGATTGCGCTTCTTTTGGTTCCGACCCTGTTTCTTCCGCCGAGGAGATTAATGGGTTCGCGCTCTTGAAGGCATGTTCGAATACAAAACTTCAGTAGTGTCTGTTTTCGATTCTTTGAAATGGGGAAACGTTGACTGCTCATCCAGTGAAAGAGATGTTGTCTTTTTACAGGGTTCACTACCTGTTTGATAAAATGCTTCTGAGATTTAAACTGTGTTCATTCCATCTGCTTGGTTTTGTTTGCTTTTCTTTACAGGGGGATGACCAGGAAGCTCTGAAGAAATTAGTTAGCAGAAGCCATGAATCTAAGGTGACTGTTATGCCCATCAGTTCCAGTTTGGGTCTGGATTGATCTAATGTTAGGTTTTCATGAACTGGGTGTCATTTGAGCGATCATTATACATTGTTTGGTTGAATGTTCTCTGTGATTCAATGGTTTATGTGTCTATAATCTTCTCATTTTGGCTACTCAATGCACCTTCAATAAACAGGTCCGCAAAAGGGATGAGGATGAAGAAGATGGCATTGAAGAAAGAGATCAAAAGAAAGTCGAGGTATGCATCTGGAAACTGATGCCCTTTGTAGAGTACTGAACAATGTGAAATGCTGCTATAGATTTCTAATTGTAGCAACCGTTGAAATCATTTTTCTGAGTTCATATCATTTGAAGTCATACTTTCTTGATATCCATCTGAAACTGAAAGAAATAATTTGGTTTAGCTACTGAGTTGGAAAGTGGAATGGAATCCGTTGAATGAAACCTCTGCAATTGTAACATCCCGAGACCACCGCTAGTAGATATTATCCACTTTGGCCCGTTACGTATTGCTGTTAGCCTCACGGTTTTAAAACACGTCTACTAGGGAGAAATTTCCACGTCCTTGTAAGGAATGTTTCATTCCCTTCCCCAATCAATGTGGGATCTTACAATCCACCCCCTTGGGGCCCAGCGTCCTCGCTGGCACACCGCTCATTGTCTTGCTCTGATACCAATCTATAACAACCCAAGACCACTGCTAGTAGATATTGTCCACTTTGGCCCGTTACGTAGCCCCGTCAACCTCACGATTTTAAAATACATTTACTAGGGAGAGATTTCCACACTCTTGTAAGAAATGTTTCGTTCCCCTCCCAATTGATGTGAGATCTCACAATCCACCCCCCTTGGGAACCCAGCGTCCTCGCTGGCACACCATTCAATGTTTGGCTTTGATATCAATCTGTAATAACCCGAAACCACTGCTAGTAGATATTGTCAGCTTTGGTCCATTACATATCACCGTCAGCCTCACGATTTTAAAACGAATGAGAGATTTGCACACCCTTGTAAGGAATGTTTCGTGATTGCCTTATAATCTAGATTTTGAATTGGTTTTCTTAACTCGTTAACTTTGTGCAAATCTTCATCCTATATGATTTACTTGCTTATTCTGGCTGCAGCACTTGCCTTCTTGTTTATTGTCTCTAGATATCTATTCTATGCTCTCTCTTATCTTCCCCATTTTGTATTTCCTTATTCTTTAATGAATCTATAGTTCTGTTCTACATGTTTACTAGCAAAAGTGTAAAGCTATCTAATATAATACCTATTTTTCTATCAATTCTATTATTTGCAGTTGTCTGCCTCTAGTTTGCTGCCAAAGTTAGACCTTGTCCTTACAGCTTCCAACATAAAGACCAAGTATAAGGTAGGATCCAATTACTGTTTCATTCTCATTCCTAGCTGCCTTTGTCCCTTTTCCTTTACTGAAATGGATTTGTTAGATACATGAACTCACTTAAGCATAGCTAGTTTAGGGGCCCCGACGACATTTCCTTTTAAGCTGTGGCGTCGGGGACATTATTTTGCTCTTACGTAGTCCTAAGCATGATGCATACATAACTAAGCTGTTGAATGATTCAGGATGCTACACTTTTACCTAAATGGAAGGCATTCCAGACACTCATCTTTCTTGAGCAGGTAAAAAGTAAATTATTATAAGCCACCATGTTGATTCTGATCGATCAACATGAACACTCATGAATGAAAATTTAATGGAATCTTTATTTCTTCTGGTGAAACTCTCTGGATTTGTTTCAATTTATTTGTTTTTTCAGGATGATGGGTTACATCATTCAAGTAAAATAGCTGCATTTGATTTTGATGGCTGTCTAGCAAACACATCTGTCAAAAGGTAAGGCTTTTTCTGATGCAGAAGTTTGAAAGGTTTGGTTATAGGTCAGAAGCAATTTTTTCTTAGAAAGTAAACACTTGCCAAGTCTTTTCGATAACATTATCCTTGCGATTGGGGCGTTTTAATTTCAGAGTAGGTGCCGAGGCGTGGTCTCTGATGTACCCTTTGATACCACACAAACTCCAGAGCTTGTATAATGAAGGCTACAAGCTGGTTGGTCAATCTTCCTCCATGAATCATGCTTAACTACTCTCGAAAACATTATTCATTACTATTACTATAAGCAGGTAATATTTACGAACGAATCCAACATTGAGAGATGGAAGAACAAGAGACAGGTCGCTGTGGACTCCAAACTTGGGCGTCTCGATAGTTTTATTAGTCGAGTCAATGTCCCAGTTCAGGTAAATACCAGACCAGACTCACCAGAAGACACATTGCAATTGCAGCCATGTTGAATTGTGAGTGTATGGTGTTGTTTTGTTGCCTGTGGATGCAGGTGTTTGTTGCCTGTGGAATTGGAGGCGGATCGGGTAAATCCGAAGAGGATCCCTTCAGGAAACCAAAACCTGGGATGTGGCAGATCATGGAGAACCACTTCAATGGCGGCATCCCCATTAATCTAGACCAGTTATTTCTCTCACTCTCCCTCATTATCTTTCATTTGGAAGAAGATTTGATATTTTAACTAATGAACTATGCTTATGTTGTTCATCCTGGTTCCTGGTTCCTGGTTCCTGTTGACAGATGTTTTTACGTGGGGGATGCAGCTGGGAGAGCTAAGGATCACAGTGATACTGATCTCAGATTTGCCCAGGTACTACTAATTTCTCATACTAACAGCAATAACATAGCTCAGGCCAACACCTTGAATCTGTTTTATTGCCATTTTGCAGGCCATTGGGTTGAAGTTTTATGTTCCTGAAGAATTTTTTGTTGAGGAATAATTTAATTTACCTTTCACCAGCCTAGAACAAGAAGAAAACTGTGTAGTAGCAATAGCTTTGTAATGAATTACTTCAGTGGAGGATTGTGAATTCAGGCACATCTTTTAGAACTAAATTTTACAAACCTATGAACTTTTGTATTCTATTCTGAAAATGAATGCAATGAGATGAGATCATACCCCGATTTCACCTTCCAAAATGGCATGCCTTGTCAATACAATTTCCTTCACAAGGTTTCTGTAAGTGAAAGGCCTGACTGTAGATCTCAAGAACAGCTCTGGAGGAATTTGGCTTTTCTTTATCTTCTTCCTCCATGGCCCATACCCTATACGTTCCCATTCTTCTGGTTTCACTTTTGCTCTCTTCCCTCTCAATTCTGTCTCATCCCCATCATCTTCCATGGCCTTCCTACTTCCCGCATTCCGCCCCTTCTGCTTCTCGTAAAATTCATCACTCGCTTCTTCACTGCGTTTCAACAGCTTCTCCAGTTCTTCTGGACTACTTATCGCCTTCCTGAACCTTTCGTCCCAATAATCCTCATCTTCTTCCTCGTTTTGATGCTCTCCTCCATCTTCCTCGTCCTCCGCTTCTTCGTTTGTCTCCATCACCACATCCTCGGCCTCATCTTCATAGTCGTCGTCGTTGTCATCAGTTTCAATCCACTCCATTACCACGTTTTCGTCACTGTGTCGATTCTCGTTGTCGTCATCTGGGGCATCACAGCCCAACTCCTCCTCCTCTAACTTAGCTTTCCACTCTTTTGTATATGGATGCAGCAGTGGAACAGGGTGGTTAGTCAAAAGAAACTCCAAACATTTGGATTTCTTCTCATCACTCAGCTTCTCATATGCATTTGCAACATCATCCACAAATGCCTTTGGATTTACCCTCAAAATCTTACACAGCCCACCAAAATATGTCACCCATTCAACATTTCCTTCATCATCCTGCAACTCAAACAGAACATCTTGCTCTGTTTTGGGATCGAGAAATGGCATTAACGCCTGGAAAAACTCTGCCTGAGGCTCAAATCTGCATTGGTAAACAGGCTTTTTCACATATATGATATCAGGTCTCATCCATGCTGCACATTGAGTTATATTCTTTCTTGACTTGTTTCCAAGCCGACCCATCAAGCTCCATTTGTCCAACCTTTCTTCTTTACCAGCTTCAAGCACAACCTCTGCAATCAAAGTCCACTGCTGCCATGGCAGCTCCGAAATCCTCCACCGTGGGTGCCTCACGAACACCCAAAAGTGCCGAAACCCTTTGCTCCTGTCCATTCGCTGCAATCCCTCGCTGAAATCAGAAGCCATTTCTGATTGCTCAATCTTCTCCCACTCCTCGTGATCCTTAACCTCGCGGATCATCGTAACTCGCTCGTCCGTAAACCGACCACGAATAGGCTCCCCGATGACAACTCCACGCCACGAGTACGGACCGAACTCGCCGTACTTGTACCAGTCATGGGGATGCCGCAGATTCGGGTCGTCTTTCTCCATGAATCGAACCATCCGATCGTAGCCAAGGCCAATCTGCTGAAGCTCATCCTCACTAAAGTTATCCGCATAATTGCTGTTCGAGTTCTTACGGCGGTAGAAATGGGACTCGGCAGGCTTCTGGCTCTTCCGACGGACATTGTTCCTCAATTTCCGCCGGAACTCAGCGTTGCCTTCTATCCGGCCGGGAGAAGGCCCTCCACCCTTCTTCTTGCTCCGGCCGGCGAATGTACGAATGTCTGGACGGGAGTTTGCAAATGGAAACTGCGAAATTTGGCGAAAAATCGGAAGAACGGAAGCATTTGGAAGACCGGATATAATGGAGAGTGGTTTACGAGTTTGATGGGATTTTAGGGTTAGGGTTTGAAGAAGAGGATTGGAGAATGGTGTGAGGGAGGTGGAGGGGAGGAATGGCGATGAAGGGTTTAGGGTTTTACAGAGAGGGAACTGTGAAGCGGCCATTTTCACAGTTTTGGAAACATTGAAAACAGAGCAAAGAAGATAACGTTGATGTGTATTTATTTACAACATTTTTTAATTAATTTTCCAAAATAAAATGATAACGATAATTGAGTTCTAATATCTAATTATTTCGCGGCATCTTATATGGGCCCTAGCTCAGATTCAATTTCATCGCCATTAAAGCAAAGGATTCAAGGTTTTTTCTTCCCGGCAATGGCGAGACGACCCTACACGACGGTGTTGGGCTGCATAACTTGCGAGGAGCTTGATGATTTTGGCGCTGGGAAGGAAGGCTGGCTCGTCGACAACCCTAATCTTATATGCGCCCTCGATTCGCACTTTCTGGCGCTGGCTAATCGATCTATCATCCTTGTTCTTGGTTGGGCGGGTTCCGATGGATATAAGGTGAAGATCAGGCCTTCTGATTTGTCTCCGATCAAAGCGGAGTACATCTCCGCTTTAGAATGGTTGGTGTTCGATGAATTTAAGGTGCTTTTGGTCGGGACTTCTTGTGGGTATTTGCTGATTTACTCCTCAAATGGGGATTTGATTCTCAAGCAGGTAGTCCCTTTTCATCATCGCGCGATCACTGTTCTTAAATCTATGACAAAAAATCAAAATCTGGTTTCTATGAACAGAGAGGTTTGACTAAGAAAGCATTATAGTTTAGCTTATAGGTTTTGTATGATCCTTCACCTGGGAAGATGCTGGTGGAATGGTAGATGTTCTTATTTATTTGATCAATGTTTTGGTAGTTTAGAATCCAGATGCCAATATGATTGTTGGTGTTCATATCTTCAAGATTTCACAAAATTTGCAATTTCCTGACATCATTTGAGGAGTGTATTATGAACTTGATTTTCTTGGACACCGAATATGGCTCCTATTTTTCAATGCTGATGGATTTTATTGCCAATATGTGGGGTTTTAGATGATACATCCTGGAAGAATTCTAAAGATTAGGGTTCATGGTTCGAAGAGAGATTCATCCCATGAATCTTCGTTCGAGGAGGTTTCGGTTGCTATGCCCGGTGTAATTGCTCGCATTGAAGCATCTGATATTCAGGTTCTTGCTACCTTCCTTAATTACTAATAGCGTAGCTTTAGATTCTTGTGCTGTTGAGATAATCATCCATAACCTCTGTGCTCTACAGCCAGATATGTTCTTGATCATAACCTCTGTGCTTCAAACTTAAGGAAACATTGCCTCTGCCTTTATGGATCTTGATATGTTTTGGACTAGTATAACATAGCCTGACACATGCTTTGGTCACAGAACACACTGCAAAAATGGTTTGAAGAATCGAAGGCACGTTTTCGGGATCCAAAATCAGACAGTCGAGATACGGAGGATTCTGGAAATTCTTTTGAAAAGTTAGCATATCAAGTATGGAATGTCAGCAAATACGGTTCTTGTGCCGATGCAGCAATCGTCGGTGTTATGCCTCCGCCATTGATGGAGCTCCAGGTAAAAAGATGGCCTCTTTATTTCATGGGAAAAACTATGAGATTGTTTCTAGGAGCAGTGCTTATGTCGTGGAAGCTCTCTGAAATTATGCTGGTATTTGAATTCAGCTGCTTTTATTGTTGGGCAGTCGAGTGAACGTTATTTTTGTGCAGTCACTGTTGGAAAGGATGCTGTAATTTCAGCATTCAGGTCAGTTTGTCTGTTGTTTTGCTATTTATGATTCTCAAGTTATTGTGTACAATGAAATTATTGTTACATTTTGTATACTTTGTGGTGGCATCATGTAAAAAGACTGTCTGAAGACAAGAGCAGGTCTTTAGTTGGAGCCATTTTATCAAAAGTTGTCCCTGCAACATTTTCAACAATAGCTTCGTTTTCGAAGGTGATTTGGCGAAGAGAACCAAAAACATCTAAAAAGCCAGATGCAAAGGGTCAAGCTTTTGCTCGAGGTGCGTGTTGGTTGCAGTAATTGATCGATTATAATGCGTGTATATAATACATCCATCTGCATGCTTTCTAACTATCGATTTCCTAAGATTTTGGGACTCGTTTCGCTGGAACTCGTATTGAATTATTTTGTTGAGCAAGCTTGACGTACAAATATCTTAAATTCTGTATTGGTGATTGTGAACTAAGAGATCTCATATTGGTTGGAGAGGGGAACGAAACATTTCTTATAAGGGTGTAGAAACCTCTCTCTAGTAGACGTGTTTTAAAATTGTGAGGCTGACAGCGATACGTAATGGGCCAAAGCTGATAATATCTGTTAGTGGTGGAGTTGGGTTGTTACAAATAGTATCAGAACTAGTCGGTAGTGTGCTAGCGAGGACGCTGGGCTCCCAAGAGGGGTGGATTGTGAGATCTTACATCATTTGGAGAGAGGAATGAAACATTTCTTATAAGGGTGTGGAAAGCTCTCTCTAGCATATGCGTTTTAAAATCGTGAGGCTAATGGCGGTACGTAACGGACCAAAGAGAAGATAAATACTTAGTTTATCCTACAATATTGGTTTAAAGGTTTATTATGAGCATTTTTAGTTCAAAGTGCGGTATTTGTTATTGTTGGGAACTTCTGCTCATTACGGTTTTCTTTCTCCTTCTTTATCTTTATGAGTCCTGTGCTTAGTATTGAGTTCAGGCCACTGTTAGATACATGTTGCTCGAGTGTTCTAACAGCTACGCATCAGCTATTGCACAATTTTTACAAAATTTTTAGGAACTTCTTGGCATCATGATTGCTGCAGCCTCTCCTTTGACGTGCTTGAAGGACCATCCAAGAAAGGGTGAGAAACTGACTTTGTCTCCAAGCGGTACTTTGGCAGCAGTTACGGATTCACTGGGTCGAATATTGCTCCTGGACACGCAAGCTCTTGTCGTGGTTCGGCTATGGAAGGTCATCCTTTTTATTTTTACTTAGATATATATATATCATTTCACAATCTCTGCTCGAACGTTTCAAAGTGAACCCGCGATTAACATTTGGTTCCTCTTTCTCCTGAACAAACTCCTTAAAATGAAATACAGGGATATCGTGATGCTAACTGTCTGTTCATGGAGATGTTGATCAATAGAGATACTGCATCATCAAGTTGTAATTCCATAGAGTATGAACCTGCAAAGAATGATTACTGCTTGTGTTTGGCTATTCATGCACCAAGAAAGGGGATAGTTGAGGTACTTTTTCCACTCAAATTGAGTTTACTCTTTACATTTGTTCTCAAGTGTTCTTTTGAACGTTGTTGATAGTCATCTTTCGCTTAGCGTGAGATCCTAGGGAAACGATTCATTCTTTATATAAGGGTGTAGAAACTTCTCCTTAGCAGACGCATTTTAAAAACTGAAAATGATTTGTGTGATCTACGGCAGATATGGCAGATGAGAACAGGTGGCCGACTCCGAACCATTCAATGTGCAACGGGTAGCAAACTACTGCAACCATCCTCCAGGTTTGGATCGTCCATTGCTTCCCCTTATATCCCCTTGGAAGTTTTGTTATTAAATGGAGATTCTGGGCAAATTTCTGTTCTAAACCGAATCCTTTGATGAACTTTGAAACAGATTGAATCATTCATTCTCTCATTTCTTGACAGTAAAAAAAAATAATCTGTTTCCCATTATCATTTGGTTTCCAACATCTCAAGCTTAATTTTGATTTCTTTATCAAATCTTTTGACATTCCATTGACATTCCAAGAGTGTTTTTAGGTGCATACCGAAATATGAACCGTTCAAACGAGGAGTTCATATAATTATCTTTAGTGCAACATTTTTATTTGTGTTATTAGATATGACATCAATTATCATCCCATAATTTGCTAGTTTGATTTTTCTATTATCTGTGTAATTAAATAGTCGCCATATAATGTTCAAGTTTATTAAATAAACATTTGAATTTTTAGTAATTTCAACCATAAAAATAAATTTTTTGAAAATATAAATATATATAGTTTTTGTTTTGAAATTTAACTTAGAATTAAAATATTTTCTTAGACATTTTTTTAATTTCTAATCCTAAAATCTTAAAAACAAAAATTAATTAGAGATATCCACAGGTGGGTGTCTCATTTATTTTTGTGGGAATTAGAGCGGGGATTCTCATTGATAATTTTAAAGTTTTAATTTTTTAATATAATTTTTATTAAAAAAATTGTTAAAAATCCTAATAATCAATATATTTGCCATATTAATATACATATACATATGTATACATATATAGATATATACATTTGTATACGTATATATATATATAGACATTTTCCATATTTGAGACATTTGTAGATGGTGTTTGGTATACATATGGAAAATGTCTCAAATCTTTATCTGTTGGTTACTGGTTACGACAGATGATCACATTTGCAGCAGTTCATTAACAGTTTGATTGGTTTAAATCGCTTACGCTGCAATGGTTGGAGTAACAAAAAAGCATAAATTTTCTTCCGAAGTTACCAAAAATGGCTTCTCAATTCATCATCTTCCTTAAAACCCAGCCAGAAGAGTAGTAACAATCCACACCATGCCGCCATTAATGGCTTCTTTTCCTTCATCTTCCCTCCTCATTTCCCTCCTCTTCCTCCTCCCCTTTCATTCCGACGCCAATCTCCACAAAACCACCCTCCGACCACCGGATCTGCTTTACGACTCCGACCTCGCAACAACCGCCAACCATTCTACTCCACCGACCGTCTTCTTCGAAGTCACCAAACCCATTGATACGCCTAAGGCCAAACCATGTTCACTCCTCGTTCTTCACCACGATTTCGGCTCCACTTACGGAAAATCCCCCGTTCTTGCGAACTACACCCCTCCTTCTCATTGCTCGTTTACTAAATTCTCTAAGATCGTCCTCGAATGGAAGGCGACTTGTCGAGGAAGGCAATTCGATCGAATCTTCGGCGTTTGGCTTAGCGGTGTTGAGATTCTTCGTAGCTGCACGGCGGAGCCTAGGGCTACGGGGATCGTTTGGACAGTTCGGAAGGACATTACGAGGTATTATTCATTGCTTTTGAAGAATCAAACTCTGGCTGTTTATTTAGGTAAC